TTATGATCTTTCCATCTCTGGTTGTATAAATAATTATTAAGATTATTACTGTTGACACCTAGTTACTGTGTGGTTTCATTTAATTTGATGTATTATTATTTATATATACATAATTTATACATTATATTATGTTTATATGATGCATACATATTCATTATATATATACATATATATATATATATATATATATATATATATATATATATATATATATATATATATATATATATATATATATGTATATATATATATATATATATATATATATATATGTATATATATGTATATATATATATATATATATATATATATATATATATATATATATATACACATATATATTCTTATAAGGTTAAGCATGAAACTTGAGATTTTTTGCATTATTTAGTTTAAATCTACCTCTTCTCAACCATATATAGGAATTACTATTTACTACTTTATATACTATTTATATGGCTTTACTTATATATTTTATTTTTCAAAGTTTCAGAAAAAATTTATATTCTAACTTGCTGAAATAAAAAAATTTTAGTAGATAGAACTGCACTGTTCTCTAATAATCCAGAAGAAGGTTTTAAACAACGTAAAAGTTTAGATAAACTTAATGTTTTGAAAAAAAAAATTTGCATATGGAGATATCCAATACATCACTTTTGTATACATGAGTTTCATCTTTAAAGTTTGTATGATATATATTATTACAATATTTATTTTAAATTGTCATAAACATTTTCAATGTTTCTTATACATTGTTTCTTTTTAGATAAAACAGTTATCATTAATTGGCGATAAAAATCTAGCTGATACAATTAAAAATATTTTGCTCTTGTAAGTAATTAGCAAAAGTTTGAGTTTTAACATTTATGATTGACAGTAGAGCATTTATCTTCTTTTTTATATATGTAGACTGCCAACAGACACTATTTTGTCAGAATACAGCATGAATTGTCTAAAGAAGAAAAAAAGTTTAAAGAGTTGACAAGTCTATGTAACGCTGTCACTGGTATTCTTATTAGCTTATTGTGTTTGATTAATTAAAAATTAAAAATGATGTTTTAAAAAAAAAAAAAATTTTAGGCTCTGGAACATGACATGTATTCAAGTGTATGTATAACATATATATTTTATTTTATGATTTTATTGAAACATGTTTTGTTGTTTTTATTAGAAGCTGCTTTAAAGTCAAATAAAAACTTAACCAAAATGGATGCTATCCAACTTATTGGGAGAGTAGTTAGGCATTATTCTGACTGAATAAAGAAAACATCGACTAATATGGATTTCGATCAATGTTTGCTTAATTAACTGTTGTATTTTTTTTCCATTTTTAAGCAATTTTCTTCTATTTATAATGCACTATCGATTATATTCTACAGTACCTATTAGTTTTTAATTTGAAAAATTTAACTTTTTTGTTTGAAAAATTATTCTTAATTTTTATAAAGTTATTAATTTATTTTAAATATATCAAATTACACTTTACTTACATTGATTTCCTTTTATAACTTCCCTTGCCTAGATTAAGGCAAATCTAAGGTGTGTGTTGTAAATCATTGCATTTTTATATAACTTTTAAAAGAATGTCTTGGTAAAATTCAAACGTCTCTAGGACGTTTGAAAAAGACGTCCTTAAGTCATTCATATGAGACCAGCCAGAGACGTCTCTAGAACGTCTGCAAAAAACGTCTCTAGGACGTCTTTAAAAAACGTCTTTTGGACGTCCGGAATGGACGTCCTCAAGCCTTTCATTTGAGACCAACTAAGGATGTCTTACGGACGAGACTTAAGACGTCTTACGGACGTTCTTAGGACGTCAAAATGCCCGCTGGGAACATACAAATGTATATAATATAAATATATAAAATATAGGTCAGAATTAAAACAGAAAATAACTGAGAAATTTAAGAAATTTAAAATAGCAAATAACTAAGAATTGTCGAAATGCTAGCAACCGCTAAAATGTTTTAAAATCATTTAAACAAAAAGTTTTAAATAAGAATAAAATTTCATAATTAACATTATCACAAGATGAATTTTTAACATCATTACTTAAATTTGATTGATATAAATAAATTTTTTTTTATTTGATTAAATTTTAAAAGAAACATTTAAAGTCAGATAAATGAGGATCCCTGAATAATTATTTTGATTCATTTTTAAATTGTTCTAATGTCTTGTTTTTGTTGACAACCTCTGGGAATTTTTTCCAAAGATAAGATCCGCGATATTTAATTGAATAGAAGGTTAATTTTAAATTATACTTGAGAGGAACAAAGTTGTTATCAGAAAACTTTGTTGAATATTTATGATTAATGTTATTAAAATAGGTTTGAAAAATTATTGGGGACAATCCCATTTTTGTTTTAAACATAAACAATAAAACTTGGTGTGAGTTGAGTTTATACACATTTAAAGTACCGAGTGCACGTAAAAGTTGTTCGCAAGGAGTATTTCTGCAGGCTCCAAACACTATTCTGCATGCATGCTTTTGTTTGTTATAGATTTTCTTAAGTTTTGTATAGCCAGTACTAGCCCACACAATATTACAGTAATACAAATAGTTGTGAATAAAAGCAAAATACAATTTTTTCATGGATGCTACATTTAGAAAAGGTTTAGCCTTATAAATCATTGCGATATTTTTTGAGAGTGTTGTTTCAATACTATTTATATGAGAATACCACAGTAATTTTTCATCTAGTTTTACTCCTAAAAAGTTTACGTTAGTTTCCCTTTTAATATAAGTATTATTAATTATAAGATTTGGTAATGTTTTCTGATTTATTTACTTTATGGAGGAGTATATATTTTGTTTTATCCACATTTAATTAAAGTTTGTTACTTACGAACCATTCATTAACTTAACATAACTGTTAATTAACTATTATAAAAAGTGTTTTAATATCTCTGTGAGAATAAAAAAGATTGGAATCATCAGCAAACAAAATTAGGTCTAAAAGATTTGTTGCTAGGTATAAGTCATTTATGTACAATAGAAATAAGAGTGGTCCTAAAATTGAGCCCTGAGGAACCCCGCAATGAACAGTCATTATTAAATGCGTTAGATATTTGATTAGAAAGTTCAACTATTGCATGTTCTGTGGAATTTTTTTTTTAAAATCCAAATTGCTTGCAATACAACATGTCGTTCTCAGTTAGATAATTATATAACCTATTATACATTATTCTCTCTAGCAATTTTGAAAATCAAGGTAGTACGGATATAGGCCTGTAGTTTAAGATATTTGACTTATCTCCAGATTTAAAAATTGGTGTTATACGGGCAATTTTTAGTTTGTCAGGAACAATACCTGTTTTAAATGAAAGATCAAAAACATGAAATAAAGAAGGTTCAATAATACCAAATACTGATTTGACAATATCAGTACTAATTTTATCAAAACCTTCACTTTTTTTACTTTTGAGACTGCTAAATGCAGCACTCAGCTCGCTAAGTTTTAAACTAGTTTCATCCATAAGTTTGTCATAAGTTTTTAAGTATGAATCAAAAGGAGTGGAGTTAGATGGAATTTTAGCAGCCAATTTCGGACCAATATTGACAAAGTAGTTGTTTAGTTCTTCGGCTATAATAGATTTATCATAAACTAATTTTCCATTAATTAAAAGATTTTTTGGCAGAGTGTTTTTTTTGTAATTATTTTTTCCAATTAAATCCTTAATTACATTCCATACTTTTTTAGTGTTTCCGTTGTGTTTTTTTAATAACTGAACATAATAAAGCTTTTTTGAGTATCTTTTTATTTTTTCGAATATATTTTTGTAATTTTTATAAGTTATTTCATTTTTATAAGATTTTTTTTTAAGATACTTTATATATAATTTTTCTTTCTTTTTTGAAGATTTTAGTAAGCCTATTGACATCCAGGGATTTTGAAGTGATTTGGTATTTATGATTTTTTTTTTTTCTGGAAACGCTATTTCATATTGCTTGCAAAATTGACCAAGAAACAAGTTATATGCATTGTTAGCATCACTTGATTGCAAAATTAAATTCCAATCAGCATTATTTTTTAAACAGCATTAAAAATGCTTTAAGGAGTTTTCATTGATCTGTCGCCGAAATATTGTGGGTTTTGTGGCAATATTGTTAATTAAAATGTTATCGGTTGCTAAGAATGTTGGAAAATGATCCGATAAATCAGCCTGAATTATACCTGTGAAAATTTATAAAAACTGTTAGCTATGATGTTATCAAGTAGAGTAGAAGACTTTTTTATAACTCTTGTTGATTTGTTTATTGTTGGAATAAAGTTATTTTCTAAAAGAGTATTTATAAAATTCTTAGAATTATTATTAGAAGCATAGTTGATTAGGTTGATGTTAAAATCCCCGACCAAATATATATGTTTCCTGGAATTTTTAATTTTGTTTAGAAATATTATAAGATGAGTTTTAAATTTTTTCATGTTGCCAGATGGTGGTCTATAAATATTATTTATAATTATGTTTTTTTCAGTTTTATTTACTATTTCAATGCATAATGATTCACAATCTGTTTCATTAACACAGAGGTCGTTACGTAAAATATAATTAAGTGAATCATGGATAAAAATACTAACGCCCCCACCTGCATTAAATTCACGTGGTTGGTGAATTGATGCGTAATTAACTAGATCAAATTCATAATTTGTTTCACCACTTTTATACCAAGTTTCCGTCAGACAAATAATTTTAAAATCGTGTTTAAGTTCATTCAATAATATTTTCAAATTTTCAATGTTTTTATTCAAACTTCGAACATTGATATTTAAAATTGAAAAAGTGCTTTTATTTTTTTTAAGATGTTGCGAACATTCAGAAACGGAATAATATTTACTTTCTAACATTTTGTGATTAAAAAAATTTGAGTCGGTGTTATAATCACCGAGAATGTCATTTTTATCCGAAAATTTAATTACAAAATTTTCCTCCATTTTAAAAACAGTTAAATTTAAAATAAGCAACAGTAAAAATAAAATTCCGTTAATTAATAAAGAATATTATGAAGATGAATTTTTGCTTTTCTTTGCAACCCAATCGCGAATTAGCAATTTATCATAAGATATGAATGCAAACTTACCAGCTGCTCGTTCGATTTTCATTTTTTCCCTCAAACCTTTTCGAGTTTGCGTTGTTTCAGAACAGAAATCCTCGTTTATATAGATGTTTTTCCATTTCAGATTGCTTGACTTGCTCAAAATTGCAACTTTATTTTTAAAGTCCAAAAGTTTTATCACTATTGTTCTCAGCTTATTTGATTCTTTTTTTCCTTTTCTCTGGGCCTGTTCAATTTGGACATTTTTAACAGATAGTAACTCTTCAAAAACCTTTTTTACCTTAAGTTTGCTTTCCTCCCAGCTTTCACCTTCATTTTCATTAATTCCATTCACTCTTAAATTATTACGTCTCGATCGATCTTTTATCTCCCTTAACCTTTTTTGTATGCCTGTAATTTCTGAATTGTCTTCTTTACTGAAAACATTTGCTTTCTTAACTTTTTCATCTATTAGTTCTTCATGAAAATTTAAACTATGCTTCAATTCTTCTATATTTTTTTCAACTTTTTCCAATCTGCCATTAAATATTTTTAGGTTTCCACTAATAATGTCGATAAAAACTTTTTCCTGTTGTTTTAACATCAATTCGAATTCTTTTTTATAGCCTTCAAACAATTTTTTTATTTCTGAAAATGTAACAGCCATATTATATAAAAAATGAATTATTTTCTCAAGAAAAATAAATAAAATATACTAGAGATTTAAAATTATACAGTTTTCTCTTCAAATTTTTACGCTGCCTAAACACGTCTGTTCTTGAAGAAAGCATGCGGCAAAAAAAGCTATGAATCAAAAAAAACTAAGAAACAATAAAAGTTATGTATTTATTTGAGAGCTACATGTTGTAGTTTTGTAGCTATAACCATGATAATTTTAAAGAAAATACTAAAATAATAAACTAATAAAAAACTTATATCCATGTATTTTTAATAAAACTTAATCTGGTTTATAACATTGTGCTGCATAATCCTTAATATTGAATATCTAACATCAAGTGCAACGTCAGCTTTCTCTATGCTTTTATTTATCTTACCACTTTCCTTTTCTTTCTTTTAATATGGACGCCAGTACAATATCTCAACAAAAGTATAATGTCACCATAAATCACAAAAGGTTTAAAAAAATCATCTTGAATCAACAAAAATTATTTACCGAATAATAAAAAAAAGTCTAAACAAAATAATTTTACTTATAAAAAATTCGCAAAAGAGCTTTAAGACAAAAAAAAAAAAAAATTGTACTATTCTTATTTGCTACAGTAAAATAAGCTTAATTTACAACATAAGTGGAAATTTATAAATAAACTCATGGGTACTCAGAAAACTAACACAAGCGAATTGCCTAAAGCTATTAAAATTAACAATAAAATTTCTTTTTTTTTTGCTTATTTCCTTCAATCAAATTGTAACAGATGATAATTTAAATGAATTTTTTGTATCCGTTGATCCTAATCTGGCCCAAAAAAATCCTACCTTGACCAACAGAATATTTGATTATACTCTTCCAATAACTTTGTACTTAAAATTCTTTGAATTATCCTTTGATGAATTTTAACTATCTTTTAAAATGCTTAAACATTATAAATCAGTTAGTCACGATCATAATATTTGTAACATAATTATCAATTCTTATGATTTTAATAATAATTTTTCTCTTTAAAATCTTAAATGGTTCAATAAAACAGAGAGTTTTTCCTTAAAATCTTAAGTTAGTCAGAGTTTTACCAAAGATTATTCAGAATGTCCTATTGGCGCCCATATGGGTTTGTCCAAGTAAGCCCTATGTGAGCTTTATGTATGAGCACAAAATGAGCCCTATGTGGGCTAGTCCTGAATACAAAATTGTGTATTCAAGGACTAGCCCATATGAGGCACATTTAGGTCCCATATATAAAGTTTAAAAAGCGTTAAACTCCATCTTATTTTCTAAATTTTAATGCTATCCGATCATGCGGGCAATGGTATGAGGTACTCCGCTAGGCAAATAGCTAGAAGAGTATAAATCACAATACCAAACTTACTTTATGAAAACCCCCTTACGTTTCTCAAATGTAATTACGTCTCAAGGCTTTTCTCAAATTTTAAACTAAACTCAAATCAACTCCATTTCGAAAAATCTTATTTTTATTAAAGTCAAATCATTTTAAAGACTACGTAATAGTGCTATCAATGTCATGTATTAGTGGAAGTAAGAGAGTTTTAACTTGTATATGAAGACTATTTTTTTTTTTGTATATAAAGTTTTTAAAAGTGTATACACTATTTGAGTTTTTATAAACCCACAAGCAAAAATATATATAAAATGACAAGTCTTGAAGAGGTTATTAAATAATGCTTTAATCAATCTTATTTCAAAATATTTATTTATATAAGACTATTACTTTTTCTATTTTATTATTTAAATACTGTGGTATTATTACAAATGTTTATTATTGCTTTCCTTATTCTTTCAATGTTTGATTTCCTGTTTTACTTCTATAAAGCTAGATTCGCGTGACATATTTATGACTATATATTAAATTTTACATATCTAATTTAAAAATAAATAAATAATTATTCAAAATATTATAAAAAATTTAAATAAATAAAAAAGTGGAACCCATGTGGTTCTAACATATGTAGCCCATATAGGCTGCCCACTTGAGCCTCAATTCATGGGTGGGATGTGGACAACCCATTTGCGCCCCATAAAACTGCCCACTTGGGCCTCATGTGGGGCCCAAAATGATTTGCTGGCTGGGTAAAAGTGTTGAAACCTATTCGGTTAAGTACTTATTGACATTGTACTTGTTTTTTGTGGTTAATCCATATATTGGGGTTGTTAAAAAAATTATATATATTTGTGAGTAATTTGTGTTTGTGTCTTTTTTAAGTAAGCATTATTTGTTGTTGACATTCTTAGGATTTTCATGTGATGTCAAGTGTTGCTGGGAAACGTATTTGTACAACTACGGTCACTGCTTTTAAAAAAATATTTGAAAGGGCCAATGATTGTATAGCTAATTCTAGCCAAGATAGTTACTTATTCGAGGAACTATCCAGTTTTATAGAAATTTTAACTGAAAAATATAATAAGGGTCAAGCAATTAAAAATGATTCGATTAATTTAATTAAAGATGATAAAAATTACAAATTGAAGAAATTTTAGGTACTGAGTTTTCTTTATGTTTTAAAAAGAACTTAAAAACAATGAACACTTAATGATATGATAATATTTATAAGTGTAACAATGAGTCAAAGTCTAGCAGCAAAAAACCTTTGCAAATAATAATAGCAAACTTCCACCTTTAAAATTAAGTACCTTTAATGGGAATCTGGAAGAATGACAAACTTTTTATGAAAATTTTGAATGTGCCATCCACAATAATAATGACCTTTCCCCAATACAAAAGCTAAATTATATACGAAATTTGCTCGAGGGAAAACCTTTAAAAACAATTTCAAGTTTAGCTTTAAAAAATGACAACTATCAAATATTATTAGAATTGCTTAAGGAAAAATTCAATGATTAACAACTTTTAATTTCAACATATATGAAGTCACTTTTATTAGTTGAGCGAGTGCAAAGTATAAGCAATATTTCTTTCTTTTTTTTTTCTTTCTTTTTTTTTCATTTTTTGTTCTTTATTACAATATTTAAAACAATATTTACAAATATATCGATAAGAAAAATTTATGCAAAGAAACCTTTTAAAAAAATAAAGAATAAAGATAAAGAGCGCGGATACGCCATACAGGTTTTGTAACTAAAAACCGCTGTTGAAGAACTTTGAACTTAATTTAGATTTTAGAAAAAAGAAAAGTAGATAAATACAAATTTTAAACTTTTCTTTACTTATGGTCTTTATGGCTTGAATTGAAATACTAATTCTTCTGAATTGCATGTTTCAAGCAAAAACAATAATATCATTATATTCTTGATAAACGAATACGTCTCGCATCTTAATCGCATTTATACGATCACTGAATCTCGTTACTCAAATGTATCTTACAATTAAACTAATCTTAACTGTTAATTAATTAATAAACAAGCAAAAATAATAAGAATATGACTGCACTAGGTAGATCCAAATGCCCTTCAAGGTTGTCCAAAAGATTGTGTAGAAGAATTTAGAAAGCCAAATGATGATGTCATTGTGTGTGAAGCGAAAATTATCAAATGTTGGTGCGTTTACGTTTACGCTTTCACTGACAAAAGTGCAAAACCACTGTAAAAGGATGGTTAACTATATATATATATATTTATATATATATATATATATATATATATATATATATATATATATATATATATATATATATATATATATATATATATATATATATATATATATATATATATATATATATATATATATATATATATATATATATATATATATATATATATATATATATATATATATATATATATATATATGTATATATATATATATATATATATATATATATATATATATATATATATATATATATATATATATATATATATATATATATATATATATATATATATATATATATATATATATATATATATATATATATATATATATATATATATATATATATATATATATATATATATACAGTAGGTTTCATAAATTTAGACGCATTCATTTTTATTTTTCACATATGTAAGAAAAAACTCAAAATAAAAATAAAATAAAAGTGCTACCGCTATGTTTGATATATAATTTAAAAGAGGAAATGAAACTCTATTATAGAGTACCTTAATTTTTTTTACAGGATGTTTATTACTCATTTTATACCGATTAACACAAAAAAGTTAATCGATAAACTTGATTTTATTTTGTTCATAAATTTAGACGCACAATTAAAAAAGTCTTATATCTTGTTAATTGATAGTTAATTAGTAGTTTTTTTCTTATATTTCTCATTAATAGGCCTAAGTTAATTGATTTTGTCAAAAAACCTTATATAAATATGACTTATCTGGAATTATTTAATCATTATTTAAAATAAACAAAAGTTAAGTTAGTTTTGCACAAAAAAAACGTTAAAAATGGGCAAAAGACGTATCACTCAAGGTGAAAAATGGCAAATTATTGCGCACATCAAAGAAGGAACCAAAAGTAATAGAGAAATTGCCAAGTTAATTGGAGTTTCTGAGAAATGCGTTCGGACAACGAAACAAAACTTTCTTCACACTGGTGGTGCCAGCGAGAAAACGAGGCCAGGTAGACCCTTGTCAACCACGAGAAAGGACGATTGTGTTCTTTTTAGAGCTGTCAGAGCTAATCCAAGAATTAGTTACAAAGAACTGACCACAGAATTAAATACAACGCGAAATACATGTATTTCTCAAAGCACAGTCCGCCGAATACTTATCAAATACAAGATTGGAGTCTACACTGCTTTGAAGAAACCGCTTCTGCGTCCATATGATAAACAAAGGAGACTAAAATGGTGTCGTGAAAGAAGGTATTGGACAATAGATCAATGGGAAAACATTATGTGGAGTGAGAGTAGCTTTGAGCTTATCAATCGCAAATCTAACATAACAGTCAAAAGAATGGCTCACGAAAAGTATTACGCCAGGTACATTAGACCAACTGTACAAAGTGGAGGAGGCTCGATAGGAATCTGGTCATGCTTCAATTACAAAGGTTTTGGTATGTGTCA